AAAGTCGCCGGCCGTCGAAGACCCAGGTACGGACCCCCCATCTCAAATCAACAGCTTTATACACACGTGCAAATTCATCCCTCCGTTTATAGCGCATATCCCCTTCTTTCTACGTTTTCCATTTCTCCGCCACACGCCCTGTTCCAGGTCCACCACCAAATCCCCTACATACCTTCTGAGGTCTTCTGCTTGCCAGAAACAGCAGACTGATCCTGACGTTTCGGACGTTTCGCGGGCTGTGTCTCAGTCGAACCACTTGATCTCCTCTTCGTAGTAGAATTCTGGGCAATGGGTCCGACCTTAGACTGTCGCTTTTGCGAGTCCTTGGACTTCACCGAGTCTGCCCATGCACTTCTGTCGCCCTTGTTTCTTCTAGAGACTTCGCCCTCCCGCCTTTCACGAGTTGAGTTGAATGATTCGTTCGATTCCTCGCCCTGAACAGGGCTTGGCGATTTGGGTCTCATCCCCGACACCATCGCGCTGGCCTTGCACTCTTTCATGACCTTGGCACGACTGGCGCGATGGCCTGCCGCTCCTTTTGCAGCAGCCTCATTCTGTTCAAGACGTTCCGCAGCTGGGGGTGAACCAGGACTTCCTGAAATATTCGAGGAGATGGCGGAGCCGTGGCGAAATGAAAAAGGTTGACGGGTTGGTTTCTTGGTCTCATCATTGGAAAGTTGTCTCTTGCTCTTTTGACCCTTCTTTCCAGAGGTGGAGGCCGGAGCTCGTCAACAAGACAGGAAGCATCCAATCGGAGCTCGCCAACAAGACAGGGGCCACCCGCGGGACAAAGAAATCACGCACGTTTTACTTTGAAAAACGCCATTAAATTTTGGGGGACCGAAGCACCGAGCGCGATTGAGCACGATGGTATCGAATCGATGGTCCCACTTGGTGTTCTGATGGAGGGAAGCATCGAGGGAGTCGAGAGAAATATAGATCGTAGTGTGGAGTTGTAAGATTGCGGGTCGAGAAAGGCAATGATGGTGACGCTATGAGCAACCTTGGGTGCGGTGAAATCTGTGAAGCTGTTTGAACTTGGGGTGGAAGGGCACGGAGATGCCGAGGCGATGGTGAGGCTTTGCGACATGCAAATACGACGTGCGGAGGTCGTGCGAACCAACGCGGGCCGCGGCGCCGAGTTGTACGAGCGTGCGATCCAGATGCGCCAAGATCACGATGCTATGCTCGGCATGACGCTCCTACTGCGGGACGGAGGGGACGGGTTTTGCGATGGATGCAGAGAGAGCTTCGAGGCTGTTGTAGTGCGCAATGCAGGGGCATGGAGAAGGAGAGGCAATGGCGCTTCATCCCAGCCTGGTGCGGGACGGAGCTATTATAGCCAATATGTCACTGAGGGCAGACGTGGTATAGGGGTAGGGTAACCTTGCTCGGTTGTCACAGGCATTGGCACGTGTTTGGGTGATGATGTTGCAGCACTGCACATCCTTCTATGCTCATGCGTAGCCCCTCTCCATCTACCATCAAATACGCACGAGGCACTCCCTACACTTCGCGCCAGCACTAGAGTAGAAGCACCATGAGTCTATTTGCATTTATGCAGATGACATTACAAGGCTGATAATGCTTGTGGAAAATGGGCATGTTTCTTTCTCTTGTAATTTGAATATGAAGTTTATTGCAGAGCGGAAGTGCAAGTCATTCCAGATTGGTTCTGGTGAAGTTGCCCATGGACTGTAGTGATGCTTGTGAAATTTAGAATAAGTGACTAATCGGTTGGAGGGATAGGACAACTGCAATAGTTCATCATTTTTGATCTGGATTATCAAACAAAGCGTCAGTGTACATTAGGTAGGAAGGAGCCTAGGGCGAAACTGCAAAGAGAAGCTTAGACTGCTAGTTTAAGTTGCTACCCGTATCACTCCCGTGTGCCAAAAGTGACGTATTTATGACGTTGGTCAGTCGTGGCTCGACTTCTTCCCGGGCAATCACAAATGCTTTTTCTTGGTAAATGGCAGGGGTCTTCAGGCTCATCGTGAACCTGTCCATGAACTCTGGGAAACAGAAAAGGCTTCGGTGCACTGATCAATAGGGTATCCCGATAGTGAATGGCAGGAGGAAGAAGAGAAGGAGGCTTTGGGGGCGTGTTCTCTACCTTCATGATTTCATGAAGGAAGACGCGTGCGATTAAAGCATGAAAATATCTCTGCCTCCTGTGTCGTACCGGCATAGTGCTTATCGCTTTCCTGCACTCACACTTGAAACCGTCGGTGCTTCATTTCGCCCATCTCAACTATCACAATGACGAACACCGTAAGGTTACATTCCAAGGGAATACATCTTGGTTACAAGCGTAATCTACGTAACCAGCAGTGTGGCCAGTCACGCCTTCTAATCGACGGCATCAAGGATCGGATCGCAAGGATGCCCAGTTCTACATGTGTAAGCGAGTAGCTTACGTCTACAAGGGTCTAGTCGAGAAGAAGACTCCGAGCGGCGCCTCGAGAAAGTATCGCGTTATGTGGGGCCGCATTATTGCCCCGCACGGAAACAACGGTCACGTACGCGCGAAATTTCGCAATCAGTTGCCACCGAATTCCATCGGAAAGGGCGTTCGCGTCATGCTTTACCCCAGTACAATTTAATCACCTCAGAGCCCTGTTCTCTGTGTTTCTCTTCAACGGCCGATGCGGAGACGGCCTACTTCCTTCAGGCCTGTGACTGAGCGCGATCTATTGCGCTTTAGAGTACGGATACTTCCATTGATCAGCAAAGAGAAACAAGTGGCACTGACAGAAGAAGCGAGTGACTCCAAATTACAGAGATTTGTACATGGTAAAGCAGCGAGAATTTTGCGATCGTTTCTATTTCTTTAGTTAGAGTGTTTGCTGTTTTTTTGGCGTGTTAATTTCTTTGCTTTCAACTTCTGAAGCCAGCAAAAAATAACTTAACGGTGGGTGTGTTCCTCTCGACGTCCCCGAGTAAGGATACAACATTCCGAAGCGATGCCGTATCATTTGCTGCGATTTCAAGCAAGAATGAAGCAGCCCCCGTTGACTGGCTCGCCTTACTTGTGGTACTTACGGATTTGGACGGCAGTGAGAGCACAATCTTCGATAAACAGATCGAGAAAAGAAGTAGACCAATCCGATTAGGGGATTTAGGGGACTAATGCCAAATGGCGGCAGCGGCGGTGCCAGCGGGGGGGGCGGCGGCGGCACAAGGACGAGGGCAGAGCAAGAGGACGGCAGAGGCAGGGGGATAGGGATAGACACAAAAAACAACGCAGCAACAGACCATCCCAGTATTCCAGGTCCGTCACTGCGTCTGTGGTCCCAGCATAAAGCGTTTTGGCTTTTGTAAGACTTGAATCTTTAGTGCAGATGTGCAGTATGAGTGATAGCGCCCTGCGTGAGTTCCTTGAAAGCAGTGATGCAAGAAAAGTGGCATTTAAAAGTCGAAATTTCAATTTTCTTATACTGCCAGGTTCGATATAGAGCCGTTTTCGTCCCACAGACACAGGTCAGCACTATATTACCAATACAGGAAATGTTAGTATGGGTGGCCACCCATACTAGAATTGCCCTCCGAAAAGTTATCAAATTTTAATAAAGTTGTAGTATGGCTGGCCACCCATACAGCAAAATGAAATCTTGTCGCGCGACAACCGCACTAGAATCACACCCAAATCACCCCCCAAAACATTACCAAAAATCACCCTAACGCAATGTATTACACGTGCGAACAGAAATGCTTTGTATGACACGTGGTGATCAAAACGCAATCTATAACACGTTACACTGTCGAACATTAATTAATGCATATTATAAACACTATATATTTAACTATGATGTAATTAATGTCGAGCAGCACAGTACCATCATTAGAACAATGGTACTCCGAAACAACGCGTCCTTAGGACGCCATCCTGGAACATTACACTGTCGGACATTAATTAATGCCTATTATAAACACTATATATTTAACTTTGATTTAATTAATGTCGAGCAGTACCATCACTAGAACAATGCCACTCCGGAACTCCGCGTCCTTAGGACGCAATCGCCGAACATTACACTGTCGGACATTGATTAAGTCGCCACGTCTAAAACATTGCATTTTGGTCGCCACGTGTACTTCATTGCATTTTGGTCATTCACACGTGAAGTACATTGCATTTTATTCGCCACGTGTAATACATTGCATTTTTGTCGTGCAACAAGATTTTCAAAAGCTGTATGGGTGGCCAGCCATACTGGAATCGACCTCCAAAAAATTAGCAAAAATTGCATTAGTTGCAGTATGGCTGGCCACCCATACAGCTTTTGAAAATCTTGTTGCACGACAGAACATTGCATATCATACCAAATACCTTGCCTGCTCTTGCAAGCCTGCGCGATGTACCTTGATATTTTTGAGAGCCCTGCAGGGCTCTATAGTCGAAAAATCCCCCACTATAACTGAACAACAAACTTTACTTATATATCCTTTGCCAATCAATCGTGGAATCGACTACGTCTTTAAGCCCCAATGTCACAATACGAAGTCTAGAGTGCTCTAGAGTGCAGTAATAAGTCTGCAAATAAATAGACCCAATGCATTAAACAAGCACACCAACTGGAATGGAGGTCGTGCGCGAGGACTGCTATTAATTAATCCCCTACTCCGACAATCCCCTAATTAGAAATATTGCAGTTAGTAAATAATTGACGTTAATATTTAATGATCATTTAATTGTTGCACAAGCTCTACCATCATCCAGACAATGGTGTTCCAAAACCGAGCGTCCTTGGGACGCGATCTCGTTATTAATTAACGCATATTGCAATCATTATATATTTAATGCTCACGTACATGGCTTTCACACAACTTTCGATGACAGCAAAATCCGACAATTGTACAACAGTGTTGTTCGGTATTACGAAGTCTTCTTGTGAGCCCACAGTAAAGCCTCTCTGCCTGTGGAGAGATCGGAGTTCTGGAAGGCGCAGGGCGGAAAGGTGCATGCACCGTTTGGGGGGCTGGAAGCGTTTGGTTGTGGTGCAAATATTTCTTAAAATGACGATGTCGTACGACACCCTTCGCCGGTCTGTGATCAGTGACCACTGATCACAGACCCATTGATCACAGGGCCATTTGCCAAAAAATTTGGAATCTAAAATTTTGTCAAATTTTACAGCAAGGACGATGTCGTACGACACCCTTCGCCGGTCTGTGATCAGTGACCACTGATCACAGACCCACTGATCACAGACCCACTGATCACAGACCCACTGATCACAGACCCACTGATCACAGGTCCAAAATCTAAAACATTTTCTAAAAATTTGCAATCTTAAGTTTTGGTGATGACAACTTCGCCACAAGCGATACCCGCTCTACCCACAGGCCCGTTGACAGTTTTTTCGCCCTAAAGCCAGCCTCCCTCTATCTGAAGTACTTTCCATTTAATATTGAGGTCTTCTAAAACTGTACTATCCCATTAACGCGAGTATTGCTCTGTACCCACAGACCCTTCTACATTCTCACCGCCCTAAAGTCAGACTCGCTCTATCTGAAGTACTTTCCATTAATATTAAGGTCTTCTAAAACTGTACCATCCTATTAACGCAAATATTTTTTCGATATTATTGGGCTGCCGTTTCAACCGGTTGTGTCACAGATTTGGAGGTGTTGTACGACACCCCTCCTTGGTCTGTGATCAGTGACCACTGATCACAGAACCAAAATCTAAGACATATTTTTAAAATTTGGAATCAATGGAGGTCGTGCGCGAGGACCGTTGTACGTGGGAGTTGTCTGCATAATTGCTTGACAGTGTCAGCTATTAACTCTTGCTTGACAGTGTCAGACATTACTTAATCTCCTACTCAATTAATCCCCTAATTACAAATATTGTAATTAGTAAATAATTGAGGTAATATTTAATGATCATTTAATTGATGCACAAGCTCTACCATCATCCAGACAATGGTGCTTCAAACCCTGGCGTCCTTGCGACGCAGTTTTCTTATTAATTGGCGCATGTTGTAATCATTATACATTTAATGTTAATATTTAGTTTTCAATTAGTTAGAATTTTCGTGTGGTTTGATCCAGACGACAGTACAGCACACCATGGGTAATGAGACGCAGGCCATCGGTCATACCGTAGTTGCTAGGCAATAAAGTCTCTGACGGACACCCGCTTCTTCGTGGATCGGAGGGTATCGGAGTTCACGGAACCACACTTCGAAAGCAGTGATGCAAGAAAAGTGGCATTTAAAAGTCGAAATTTCAATTTTCTTATAGTGCCAGGTTCGATATAGAGCCGTTTTCGCCCCACTGCCACAGGTCAGCACTATATTACCAATACAGGAAATGTTAGTATGGCTGGCCACCCATACTAGAATCACCGTCCGAAAGTTATCAAATTTTAATAAAGTTGTAGTATGGCTGGCCACCCATACAGCAAAAAGAAATGTTGTCGCGCGACAACCATACTAGAATCATACTCAAATCACCCCCCAAAAATATCAAAAATCTTAAATTTAACGTTAATAATTTAATATTTAACTACTATTTAATTAATGTCGAGCAGTACCATCATTAGAACAATGGTACTCCGAAACAACGCGTACTTAGGACGCCATTGCGGAACATTACACTGTCGGACATGACTTAATGCATTTCATAAACACTATATACTTAACATTAATATTTAACTACGATTTAATAAATGTCTTGGTCGCCACGTGTACTTCATTGCATTTTGGTCATCTACTCGTGTAGTACATTGCATTTTGTTCGCCACGTGTAATACATTGCATTTTGTCGTGCAACAAGATTTTCAAAAGCTGTATGGGTGGCCAGCCATACTGGAATCGACCTCCAAAAAATTAGCAAAAATTGCATTAGTTGCAGTATGGCTGGCCACCCATACAGCTTTTGAAAATCTTGTTCCACGACAGAACATTGCATATCATACCAAAGACCTTGCCTGCTCTTGCAAGCCTGCGCGATGTACCCTGATATTTTTGAGAGCCCGGCAGGGCTCTATAGTCGAAAAATCCCCCACTATAACTGAACAACAAACTTTACTTATATATCCTTTGCCAATCTATCGTGGAATCGACTACGTCTTTTAAGCCGTAATGTCACAATACGAAGTCTAGAGTGCCCTAGAGTGCAGTAATAAGTCTGCAAATATATAGACCCAATGCATTAAACAAGCACACCAACTCGAATGGAGGTCATGTGTGACGACTGTTGTACGTGGGAGTTGTTCGCGTAATTGCTGGACAGTGTCAGCTGTTAACTCTTGCTTGACACTGTCAGACATTAATTAATCTCCCACTCCATTAATCCCCTAATTAGAAATATTGTAATTAGTAAATAATTGTGGTTAATATTTAATGATCATTTAATTGTTGCACAAGCTCTACCATCATCCAGACAATGGTGCTCCAAACCCCCGCGTCCTTGGGACGCGATTTCGTTACTAATTAGCGCATGTTGTAATCATTATAAATTTAATGTTAATATTGAGTTTTCAATTAGTTAGAATTTTCCTGGACTTGGGAAGCCGTCAGCGTAGGAAAGTCGGTCGAAGAACTTTTTGGAAGTATACAGCCACCGGCCCCCACTGTTAGGAATGTACATGGAC